AAGTTCTCTTGGTAATGAGTGTCCGTACTACTCAAGGTTATATAATATTTCGTTCGTCAGTGATCAGGTACAGTTGACAACTTTTTTTTCAAACTTCTAATATTTTATCTTTGTGTATACTTCGAAAGTTTAATTGATGATCTCTAAGCCGCTCGAGGTTAATCTAATGTTGATAATTTTTTTTTCAAACTTCTAAAACATGGCAAGAATTTAATTAATAATGAACCGCCGTATCTCTCAAGGTTAATCTAATGTTTTGGTCGTCAGTGATCCGGAATAGTTGATAATTTTTTTTTGTATTTCACAAAACAGTTTTTCGATTATACTAATCAATAATTTAATAGTTTTTACATTTCTATGCAAATGTTATACTGTTATGAATATTTTATAGTTTATAGTTTCCCAGTTCACCGTTGTGGAGTGTAAAGTGCGCTACAAAGCTATTAATTTGTTAGTATGTCGGTATTTCAGAACATGAGCTATGAAACTTTCTAAGATGTTTAGTCTATTCATTTCTCGTCTGTGATATAATCACCTTGAATATTCTCATTATTCTTGGAGATATGAAAAACTTTGTGATATGATAATTTTGGTAAATATGCGTTTTAGTCAATTTAAATTATATAATGTGTTTAAACTACATAATAATCTCCAATTCTTCAATTTTTCTGGAACTTAAACTTCAGAATGCATAGATAAAAGATAATAAAATAATAAGTAATTGAAAGATTTAGTAATTTTATTAAAACATGAGGTATTTATATAATGTATTTTATTAACTTTCGGGTTTCTACAATTTCATTTTCAAGTAACAATGTCTGTAAATAGATAATATAGCGCAATAATCTTAAAATATCAATTATAAATGTTACTTAAACGTAAATACTGAAAAACCGAAATTTCTATGCAGAACATATCTATTGCTTGAATACACGTAAAACTTATAGTGCAACTTATAATATAACAAACTCAACGATATTTTTTAGAAACATCGTCTTAAATAAAATTTTGTCTGAAATAAAAATATTCTGTCTTAAATAAAAATACGTCTACATAAAAACACGCATACAATAAAATAAGAACTATAAATTTCATTTCTCTTCGGACAGTCATGATTAAATCAACACTCATAGCAAGTTTAACAGACAGATAAATGCAAATATTTGTAAAAATGTGTTTGTATCTCCAGTCACACACAGGTATCTTTATCTCTTATACAGAATTTAGTCTTCTTATTTCATGCTCTGAATGTAGTATTCCACGTGATATTCATATCATTATATTAAATTTCCTTTCTGTAACCTTTGCGCTTTCTCGTTGATCCTTTTTTTGTACAAACGACTTGCAGCTAAATTTATAGATCGAGGAAAGCGTAACAAACTTTTGAGTATCGATCATTAACGTGATTGTAAAAATCAATATATTTCCATAACTACGCTAGTAACATTTCATTTAGTTTACGCGACAAACGTCGAAATCTTGCAATTGTTTTCTTTCCTTTTCTACATTGTGATGAAAATGGAATTTCGATTGATCATTTTTAAGAGAATCGAAGAAAATGTCGCTCAAGAATAAATGCGAGATTCGTACAAGTAAAAGTGTAACATTTAAATATTTGGAATTAGAAAGTGCATATTTCTTGTTACGTTTTTTCTTTATTTTCTTTATTAGAGTAACGAATGAAAATTTAGAATTGACATTTATGTATTACACGAGTAATTTTTGCACTTAATAGCTTTTCTTACGTAGAAAAATGCAATAAACAATTCATTGTTTTTGTATAGATAAAATTTCATTCATTAAGTTATTATAATTTTAATTTAATTTTAATTTTTCGTAGTGCTTAATCTTTTAAACTTTCTTTCGTTTGTCACTACTATATATAGGAACAGCACAAATTAAATAAATTGTTCTTCCTATTTCAATTTTAATTCTTAACTATTATTAGTGGATACTAAGAAAATGATACAAGTAACAATTTGAATTGTATTATTTAATTTTGGTGCACTTCATTTTATATTCTGTTCTTTCTTGTTACTTAATGAAGATACTATAAACCAAATTCTTGTGATTCACTTATAATTCAATAATATTAGTAAAGAATTAAATCAATTTCTTGTTAGAATTATTGTAGATTTTGAATCTCAATGCGAACTTATTTATTTATTATACTTAGAAGTCTAATTATTGCTTTTATCTGTTGTTACAATTAATTAACCAAATTAATCTACTTGGGGAAAATATATTAGCATTGCTTGCTAAATATTTGTTAAATGATAGACAAACGAGGAAAGACTATTAATTAAAAACGATCAATCGATGCTTCAATTAATTAAACGCTCTTAAGCAATTTATAAATTATACAAAACGCTACACGTAAAATAGTTTGTCATCAGTCTGTCTCGCAAAATGGTATCAAAATGTGTATGCAATTACGTAGTAAAAATAAAAAAATGTATTCGTAATTAGCTTCGTATGAAAGCAACAACCGTAAGGTTATAATAAATATCACTGAAAACGTTTGAACTACAACTAACACTTGAGAATTGCGTTTTTAAAAACTGTGCATTCCTCTTTTTCATAAATTTAAAAATTCAAAATTTACAAAATTCAAAATTAGAAGTCCAAACTTATATGAGAAAAAATTCTCTAGTTCACTTGAGAAATAAGGAAATTTGATATTTCTTCGTTATTTTTTTACTTTCAATTAACAAATAAAACATATTTAAAATTCAATCGTTATTAGTAATTAAAAATTTGACGAAGGAGTGCCAAACAGCTTTTAAAAACGAATGGTTCACTTAATAATACAATTTGATAACGTCGGGTATATAAATAGTAAAATTCTTGATGCAAAAAAACACTACAATGTAAGTTCGTCAAGTACGTTTAGAATTCTTAAATGTGCACTTAGAAAAAGAGTGTGCGACGCGATTGCCAGCGCCAGTACAACAATATTGTTCACATATGAATTTGTTCTTCGCGAAAACACTGACAATTTTCTTCCACGGAAAAGTATATATTAGATTTTCGTTACCCGATAACTTTTCTTTTCTGATGGCGTAAATGTAAATAACGTGTTCCTTGAAAATACTGCAATAATAAATTCGTAGTAAAATCAATGACATATAAACGTTAGCGTAACAACATCTTTGGTTCTCTGTTAGAAACGAGCGAAAAAAAGAAAGAAAAGAAAAACTGAAAAAGAAGAAAAACAAAAAGAAACCAATGTAAATCCCTCCCCCCCCCCAAAAAAGGAGGAAACGTATCTCTGCCTTAATTATTAACAAAGGAATAAAACAAATCTGCAATAAAATGCATCGACATTAACGAAACAAAGTAAAAAAGTCATTCACGATTTTCGATTCCAATGGTCGATGTCCAGTCCCTGCGTATCTACAACAATCACTCTTCTCTTCGTCCCTTTTGCTTGGATGACAATCATTCAACAAAGAAAACAACTGGTAAAGATCTGCACAATATCTTACAACGTTATTAAACCTCTCATCGTAACACTCAGCGAATCGTCTGCAATCGTTGAAAATTACCCTAAACATGCTATTGATATGCTCTAATTAACTCGATCTTTTCCCCCGTGATCCGGGAAGACAAATACAGTGTTTCGATACACGTGGCGACAAGTTAATCAAGGCAGTAATACTCCGGTGACAATAATAACTCGAACGAACGTCAAAATTCGCAATAATAGCAATTAAGAATTGGCAATGATCGATAATAATCAAGATATCGTGTTTGTATGTGTATCGTGTGTATCGTGTGTGTGTGTGTGTGTGTGTGTGTGTGTGAGAGAGAGAGTGAGTGAGGAAGAGAGAATAATAATATTATAATAATTCCTAAATGTTGTTTTCGCACTTGTAACGGCGATAAAGGCATCGCTTGAGAACGAGTTCAGCAATTCCTCCGATGTTCAGTCGTTTCGATATTTTTTTTTTCTTTTTTTGCCTTTCTACAATTTTCCTGCCTATCCCTTCTTTTTTTTTTTTCTTTTTTTTTTCTTTTTTCTTTTTTTTGTCAGAAGGTATGTAGAAGTCGGCAGTTTTCGGGCAGCTATAGATTCGATTGCGAAAGACACGTTTTTAGTGGTCCACCACCCAGCCACGATCAGAAACAGGAGATTGCTCTTTGCGTCCCGAGATTAAAAGTCGCGAAGGATATCATCTTCGACGTTCCCGTGACGCTATGGAAAATGAATAGCTCGTTCAGCTTCCGACATTTTAACAGCAATTGTCTCAGCTTCGAATACAGCAGCCGCGCTGCTTCGGTAATCATGCTGCTAGCAGGTTCTTGATGTTTTTTGGTGTGTTCTCCTCGTTCAGGTGCTTGGTGGTGTAGCGGAGAGCGTTGAGTAGACCTTCGCTTTTGCAGGGTGGTTGATCCTTCAACAGCTTCACACAGCCTTTAACCTGAAAAAGTATTATAGAGATTACGCATTTGTACATAAGAATTTTATGTTTAAATATTTCATACACACTTCTATAAATACTGTATTGTAGAATTTTGTACAACTACTATAAAAATTCTTAAAGATTAATGATACAATTGACTTCCGTATAACGCGACGAAAAAATAAACAATCCCTCGTGTAATACGTGAAATCTTAACATTTTGACGTGTTCTTCAATTTCTCTTTTGAAACATTTTTCCATCTCAGGCATTAATACGTCTTTTATACGAGCAACTCTATTTGAACTTTAATAAAGATACATTAAACATTGCAGCTCGTATTTTATTTTCATAAATTCGTTTGATAATGCATGTCTCGTATAACGCGGTTTTCTTCCCGCGCTGCATTCAAATATTTAATAATATTTATTGCATTAAGGATTTATTTTCTTTTATCAATTTTTAGTTCAATTGCTTTTCAGTCGTATTTACGTATCAAGACTTTTATTCTCACGTTCGGATATAAATATATTTCTGTTCGGATATAAATATCTAGAGACGACGTTTTAATTTAATTCTTTTCGTCGCGTAGTTGTCGGATATTATTTTTAAAATATTGTCACATTATTTTTAAGATCTTTATCCAATAATTGACATCAGTGAAATATTAAATATATCCGTTTTTTCAATACGCACATTGTGACAGACGTTAGTTTTAACACTTACATCGACATTCGAACCCTTAACAAAGGCACCTTGGGGATGAACGTGATCATAAAGGATGACTAACCCTACCATCACTCTCAGAACAAAGAGTTGAGTTTCCTCTCGTTGGAATTGCGCCAGTAGATTCCTAAGAACAATAACATATCTCATCTCCAACTGCTGCCACTTTCTTTTTTCTTTCATCTTCCTTTAGAAATCTTTCTCTTTGAACAAAGATCTTTCTTTTATACTTCGACTGTCAGGTCAACGCGTTACTTACGGATTTTCTAACATGCGCAGGCAAACCTTGGCCATGGTACCAAGCGTTTCTGTAATGTTCTCACGTGCTACATCTTCGTTCTGAAACAAGTACAACATATCTGATAAAATACGAATTTCATAGGAAATACAACAAAATTCGAATATCGCGACAATGCTATCATATCGTTAAATATCTAAGTATCCGTTCTATTTTCGAATCTTTTCGGCCAGTTATGATAATGTAAATCACTTATTTATTAAAGTAGACACTAGAATACCAAAAGCAGAAAATATAAAATATTTTTTTTTTATTTTACATGCATAATTTTTGTTCACACGTTTGAGCAATAAATGAAAGATGATCCCCATTTTATACACCAATTATTATATATTGATATTAATGAGAACAAGAATTATATCGTCCTGCTGCTTATTCGCTGTTTTAAACTTCTGTCGCTTATTTTGTGTCTTTTACACGATTTATTTTATCATCAGTTTCACACTTGAACAACTGAAACCGAAATAAAAATATGAAGGCAGTTCCATGAATATTCAGTTCCGTAGCAAAACGATCAAGATGCAATTCAGTTAACAAATTAAACATAGCGATACATAAAATAAAATTAAAAAATCCATTCTTGTTTACATCGTAATATGAATAATCACTTCCTCCATGATTCCAATTAAAATACACATGTACACATCTATTTGCGAGCGAATCTGTTGTCCATTATACGGGTAAATGTTCCGAGAACTGTTTTACCCTGAATCACTTGGAATAATAGCTTTTAATTTTCTGCTCCGGTGCTTGTCATTATTTATATCGACCTATTTCGTTCGTACACCGTCCCTCTACGCGTTTCGTCCTGTTAATGAAGCTTCCTCGCTTAATATTTGTACGAGGTCAAACGCAACATCCCTTTGTCTTCCTTTTAAAACGAAGATTTCCGAATGAAAGATGGAAAGTAAATGATTAATTACCAGACAAAATATAAATCGGAGTGTTTATTATGCGTAGAGTAAAAAGCCAAATATATGCATGCGCATACGCAACAAACGTGTGCTTGGAAGAATGGATTTTTGCGATAATACTGCTTATTCAGCGTTGTCGAAACGAGTAAATTTATTTTCAAGATTCTACACAGGCCTTTCGCGTTTCTCCCGTTTTCCTCTTTTGCTCGTTTGTCTCCGGAAACAAAGTCAATTTTAAATTAATCACGGTTAAATAATTCAAACGTGATAAAGTTCGCGAATTCACCAAAATTTTACTCGTTGCGTGAAAAATCGACGTTTGATGGACTATGTTTTCCTTTGTCCATTATAGTGTTTGCATGGCAGAAAATTCATGCGACAGAGTGAATGGAAAACCATTTAGATAGCTTTTCAAGATGTCTAAAGAATTTCACATATGAAGACTAATGATTAAAGAAATATAGAAACTTGATTACCTACTTATTATAAAATTCGTATACTCCAGTCTCATGTATATTTGTATAATTTCAAATATTTCAGTTTCATAAATTTGCACTAATTCCTAATTTCTAATTCAAGTCTTTTCCATTTACTTGAAATTGAATTTATTACGTTACAAAACAAAAGTTCAAATTTTTAAGCCAGTGAAACCACAAAACAGAAAGGAAGAATGACAACTTAGAAAACTTGAAATTTTGCTAAAATATTTGCACAAAAGATTCTTTTCTTATAAATAAATAAATGCAAGCGACATTCATTTATTAAAAAAGAAAAAAAAAACACTTTTCTATGAAATTTGACTCAATAAGGAAAACATAGAAGCTAAAAAGAAACGACAACGTTTTGATCAAGACAATTACATCGGAATTCTTCGCGAACAGCGTCGATTGGCATCCGGGTGGATCGATAATCGCGGAGAAACGGCGAATAGATAGGAGGAATAGATAGTAGAAAGAAAGTAGAGGCGATACTACTTACGTCCATCAAGAAAGTAATGGTCGCGTGACTCAGAACACGAAGCATGGGTGTCGCGTGGGCGTAGAACAAGGACATTCGGTTGGCGAGCTCATTGCCGACCACGAGGTCCTTCTCGGCATTTTCCTGTCGCGCCAGAGATGCTCTGGTCAATGTTCTCCGATAATAGCTGAAGTCGTTCTGAATAGCCGGGGTCTTCATCTTGTGCTCGTCGAATTTTAAAACGAACTCCAGAATTTCTGCCAGCTGTTTCACCAAAGCCTGTTGGGTTTCGAGATGTTGGGTCGGCGAGAGGTTGCCAGAGCACAATTGACCCAGGATCTTTGGTACGACCTTTTCTGGAAAATGTCGAGCCGAAAATTGCAAAATCAGCCTTACGATTCTGAAACTCTTGCAATTTCTTTTTTTTTTTTTCTTTTCTTTTCTTTTCTTTTCTGTTTGTAGTATAGGTTGAACAGATGACCAAAGGTCTTGAATCGATCGCTATTTAAGTTAAGTTGAACTAATAAATCATTTGATATTTTAATGTATTGATAAACAACGGAACAATATACACAAATTTAGGTATTATAGAGAAATGAAAACAACGTTGCAACAGAAATTTTTTAAATCAGTCTTCCCATACAAGAATTGAGATCATTTTGTATTTTTTAAATGATATTACAATAGTATTTTTCTTCTTATATTTCGAAAAACAATTAAATTCAGCTATATCTGAAAGATATATTATCTATATTTTCAGTATAGACATTTCTTCATATAAAATCACTGTTTGGCCGATTATATCATAAGATATAAGATTTCTTGTAATTTTTAGCATGAAAACATCCATGCCCATAATATAAGAAAATTAGATACAGATTAAAAAATTGAAAGCTGGAATTTTAGATTAGCTTTAACAAGTTTTGCTTAATTTTTTTAATAGTTTTTAATTTTTATTTCTTAATTTTATTATTACCTACTAATTTAGAAATAATAAATTACATGAACGTATATAACTTTCTAAAAGTGATATGAAAATTTCGAAGAGAGATGTAAAAGTCGGTAAAACATCGTAAAAGAAGTTCGTTGTAGGAAAAAAGGATTTTATTCAAACGATTTGCTTTTAGTATTACTATATAGTTGACGAGAACTAGCGGACATTTTTATTTCCGCTCGGATGCCTACTACTACGTTATGCAAAATAAAGGCAATAAATGCGTCTGAAGTTTATAAGCGGTTGAAAGTTTCGCTCGTGCCGATGCAACGATATTGGACTTCCAATCACCGTACGTACGGGAATATTCAGACTATATTCAAGCTAAATAATAATCCTTCGCAACTCGTTGCTGAACCAATATCGACATTTCTAATAAGTTCTTACGTCCTTAGTTAGTGATCGTTCCTCTAATTTCCAATTTTTCAACTAGTTAGTTTGATGGACAGATTGGAAGTTTAATTAAAAAAATTAAAAGTGCCTATGGAGATATGTTGAAATATCTTTTCCCTGAAAATTTGCTGAATTTTCCACTTTGTGTCCTATGTGATTACAATATTAGAAATTTGACGTTTAATAACAAATATGAGATATCCTAAATTTCGATCGTTTTATAATTTATGTATATTTATTTAAGAAATTATTAATCGTGAAATATTGTTATTTTGTTGTATATTTTTATCTTTTCATTTCCAAAAATTCCAATTTCGACAATTATCTGCATTGTGATACGTGACAATTGTCTGCGTACCGCTTTAACGAAATAAAATTTTAGAAAACAATTCGAAACAATAGAGACAAAGCGAAAAATACTAAAAGAACATACGAAAGGTTAACGCTCACCAAGTTCTAATGAAAATTCATAGAATCTTTTCAGCTTGGCAACCAGAGGGGCAACAGTCAGGTAGGCTTTCCGTTGACACTCCTCCGTGGGCGCCGAAATCGCTTCTCTGATTTCTTTCCCTGCCCCTTTGTAGCACTGAATCTCCTCTAAGATAGATTCTGAATTTTTCAGAACTCTTTGCACCGCTTCAAAGGTCTCCCTTTCTATGTCGGAAGGTTGTGCATCTAAAAATTCGATTAAAAAAAAAAAATCTTCGAGAACGATTTTCCTATGCGAATGTCGATCAAACACTCTCAGTGTCTCGGTATTGTACAACGTTTCACGTCGTCAAGTAAAAGTCGAAAAGCACGGAGGAACGAAAAAATTCAACACGCGAAAATTACGACTGAAAGGGATGTTTTCACGCGAGTATGCTCGTCGAAATATGCTTACTTTCGAAATCCAAAAAGACGTCGTACTTTTGAGGCGTGCAACAGGTAGACTCGTCTCGAGCCAGAAGACTCAAAAGCTTGCCCATCTTCGGTCTGAGGCTTCCTTTCACCCAGTATTATTTACAACGTGAAAGGCATCTGCAACAGAATGAAAATGCACGTGTAGAAGTCCCTTTAAATTTAACAGCCAAAATGGCACATGACAACTCGTTGCCATTCTTATTTACTATATTTCTTTTCAATAACTTCTCTCCATACAGAATCACAGATGAAACTTTCTGTAAAATAAATTTTTCTATTTACTTGAATACCAGAGTGTAAAAAATATATAAAGGCAACATGTCGTAAATTATGTCACAAAACAAACGTTCGAATTTTTCAATTCGGTAAACTGTTTATCACGTTCTGTAAACAATTACACGTAAAGCTTGGTAAAACCAGCACTTCAAAACTGACGTTTAATCAAAGTTTAGTCTGGCCAGAGTTTCTACATGACAGGAAGTTCGTGGAAAGTTGGAGAATACCGTGGAAATCAAGAACACTCTTGGGAACACTGGTTGATAGATATATCAAGAGGGTAGGAATAACGGTCGAACGAGTGCCAAAACCTATCAAAAACAGTCAAAGTGGAAGAGAGGAGGAGACAGTTGACCTGACGTACCTGGAGTTTGCGTCGTCACTGCACGGAGTCACAGCAGAATTTGAATTTCTGACTCCGTTCCGTCTGCCGATCCGCGCGTGCATGTCGGAGTGTTAATTTCAGACAAACGACCGCGCGCGTGTGTACGCACACATTTATATACGTATAAGTGCAGGTTAAGCAAACCACGTGTTCGTATCTGGACCACAGAACGAATGAATTCTGCGAACTCGTCAACGAGGGATGAATTCCGTTAATTCCGATCAACGGAGCTAATCTGATGCTGACCTCACCTGCAAACGGCTAATAATTTCAAGAACTGACGCCTACACGCCTGCCTTACCACCCTAAAGTTTTGATTGATTTTCACCCTCGATTTTAACTCTCGTTGTAGCCGTACCTGACTACAAAACTTTAGGATAAATGTGTTGGATTATCGAATTCTGAGATCCTTGATATTTTGTCGTCGTATGTTAAATATTTGGTTGGATAAGTAGTACCAATATTTATGCAAATTTCTATGTTTTTGGAAATATAATGAAAGGTATGGAATCTAGATAGATAATTTTACTTACTAAATATTGCAATGAATAAAATTAACAATAGAACTACCGACGATTAAAGTGTAAAGCTTGTTTCAGAGAATAATTAAAACGCAAGGGACAATAAAGAACAGATGCTTTTATTTAGATGTTTTATGAGAAATCGTTCGAGTCTTTAAAGATATTAATTGTAAATTATAAAATTTTCATAAAATATGATGAATCTCTCATTTCGACAACTCTGGTAGTTCTAGCGTTGAAAATCTAAAATTTTTCTTTTGATAATTCAGGCACTAAGGGTTAAGCATAAAACACAGTGTACCAACTAAAACGAAATACCTACTCTAAAATTGAATAACTTAATTGAAACATTCTCGCGAGCTCTTCATCACAATAAATACCACTCGACGATTAAAGTATTTACGTCTGAAACATCTGTTTCGTTCACTTTCAACGAATTCAACGTATAAATTTCGCATTTGTATTTAATTTCTGAAGAAGATGTTCACCAACGCGATGAAATTAACGTTGGTAAGAGCGGAGAAATTTGTTCTGGCGGTAGAGGAGAAACTCGAGTTTTGGATGAAAAGCAATTAGAAACGGAGAGCCAGATAAAGATAAGTTGAAATTGCCAGAGAAACTGGCCTCTTGGTTCTCCTTGATATAACAAGAGAACGTTATCAACTTTCGTTGTGAGAGGCAATTAGTTCGTTTCACTCGTGGAATGCGATTGTATTCGAACGATGCGAATGAAAAGTCTCTTTATCACCCTGTAACCTGTTCGTGATCGGTGATACATGGAAACGATAAAATCCACGACGAACACCGGCAACGCTCGAGACGGATGCTTGTCACACACGTGAGGGGACAACGATCAGGTTTGCTGGATCTAAAATTGTGCGCCGAGGGATTCCAACGTACCGGCGAATGTCTCCGTTATTTTTAGCAGAAAACCGTGCGTCCCGTTAACGAACTCCTCTTGTCACGCTGAATCGCTTAGATTTGCCAATCAGCCAGCGATTCACCGCAAGATCAGCTCGCGTTCGTCTCGTA